CCCCGGGACCCCCGAGTCACAGGAACCCCCCGGATCTCTGGGATCGCAGAGTCACAGCGACCCCCGGGACCCCCGAGTCACAGGGACCCCCCGGATCTCTGGGATCGCAGAGTCACAGCGACCCCCGGGACCCCCGAGTCACAGGGACCCCCCGGATCTCTGGGATCTCGGAGTCACAGTGACCCCTGGGACACCCAGGACATCTGCAACTCCAGAGTCACAGGGACCCCTGGGCACTCCATGGGACCTCTGGGATCACAGGACTCCCCAAAGTCACAGGAATTTCTGGGACCCCCAGGACCTTCCAGACTCACAGGGACCTCGGGATCCCAGAGCTCCCAGAGTCACAGGACTTCAGGGCTTCCCAGAGTCATAGGGACCCCAGGGCTCCCCAGAGTCACAGGAACCCCCAGCATCCATAGGGACTCGATGAGATCTCCTGGACCTCCAGAGTCACAAGAATACCCAGGACCAAGAGAATACCCAGGATTCTGGCAGCTCCCAGACCCTGCAAACCTTCCACGTCCCCAGCCCCAGGACCTCCAGCATCCCTGGGACTGGGGTCCCAGGGACCCCCAGCACCCCTGGTGTGTAGACACACAGGTATAGGGGGTAGGTGCAGGCGAAGGCATCTCCCTCATATCCCCAGCAGCCACGGGACCCCTGGCACCACTGGTAACACCAAGGGCTGAGTGTCCTTGGCACCCCCATATCCAGTGTGGCCAGGGTAATCAGGGTCCCTGGCACCCATGGGACCCAGTGCCCTGGGATCCTGGTCCCTCCATGCCCCTGGCATCCACAGAGCCCCTGCCACTGTCTTCTGGGGGATGGGAGGCAGTGGGTGGCCCTCACAGGGCTGTCCCTGTGCCCTGGTGGCAGCAAAGCTGTGCCCAGTGCTCCAGGACAAGACATGGTGAGGTTGGCACAGGCTGGGCTGGGACAACCAGGCACCCAGGGTGCCCTTGTCCCAACGCCGTGCCCCTGTGGTGGTGGCAGTGCTGCAGACAGTGGTGGCAGCAGGGCAGGGGACCCCGGTGCCTGCCATGGGCATCCCATCAGTGTTTGCCTGGGTTGTGTCAACAGCCCTGGGGCAGGACAGTGCCATACCAGCCACACCTATCCTTCATGGCATGGGATGGCATGGAACACCTCTCTGCCCTTGGCACAGCCACAGAAATGTCAAACGAAGGTAATAGATTGTCCCTTCAGTCTCTGCCTGCGGCTCTCCCTCCTCAGCCCCTGACGCGGGAAGGCACAGAGGTGACTCCGTGCTTTTGTCACCACTGTCCCCTCAGGCCACTGAATATTCCTTGTCACAGACCCCGCTGGTCCCCTTTTGCCACCAAGCACCCCCCAAGCCATGGTCCCCTCTGGCCACAGAGCATGTCCTGACCACCAGACCCTCAGTCAC